ATATACATATATTGAAGCACATTCTGCATAACATCCTGCAAACGGCTCTTACTACCCAATATTTCATTTATTAGTTTATCTGTTTAGATTACAGTAATAAGATAACTTTAAATCACAAAGTATAATATAAATACGATAACTTATGAGTAACCGCTTGTGATATTAAAACAATAAATACAGGTAATAAAAAAGGTCTGTTACGAGCTAAACAAAGGTTCTTAAAATTTAATAATAGTAAGTTAACATAAATTTTGAACAGAGATAAACGCGTTTCATTTCTTACTTGAGCCTTCTTCAGTATCGCAAAAAAATATATAANATTTAATTTATTACGTCATGTCGCAAAGACAAAGAAAAATTGTTAGATCTTACAAAAGGAAGTTCATCGTAGGTTGTAATTAGTATGACTTTCTGAAAGGATTGTATATTATGTAGTCACGCACAATAAGAGAACACACAGATACGTTTACCTTACAAATCAGAAGCCGGGAGTCATAACGGAGAACAGAGAGAAAAGACAACAGTTTATCTGAATCCCCACTACTGTAGTGAATTCAAGGTAAACAAGTCTCTTAAATTTAAAATTTAGAAGATTTTATTGTGTCAAGTAATTTAAAATAAGAGTGGTCAAGCAGGTCGGTGTCATTAATTAAATTTAACCCATGGGTCTGTTCTTTAATATGTATGGTCTCAGAAATTAATCTTTTATAAAAATTACGTTCATGGTCTAAACTTCGAGTATTGTTTCAGTCAAAGGAATGATTAAAATCAAGTTGGCCAGACGTGTCGAACATTACAAACCAGAGTTAGAGAACACAAGAATCACATTAACAAAAACTCCACTCAGAGTTCTGTCATAACAGAACATAGAATCAATTACAACCACGACTTTAACTGGGATGGAGTTGACATTCTGGATCAAGAAAGGTCTTATTACAAAAGATTAATATCTGAAACTTTACATATTAAAAGTCAAAGACATGGCCTCAACCTGCATAGCGATACTGAAAATTTAGATAAATCTTACTTACCGTTTATCGATAACTAAATCCTTATCCGCTTAAAAGTCTTTTACTGTTACAATTTGAATTTCATTGGATTAATGCTCACTGTTTTTGATCCTCACAATTGTTGTCATGTTCGTGTGAGATTGACGCCTGTCGACTTTACTGTGTTTGTTCGACACTTCTCCTATTAACATCTTATTATTTACTTGTAAGTTTTTTGATCATTTTTTATTTTTCTCATTAATTGTAATAATTATGTATCCGTTTGATCAGCGTTTTCTTTTAACATATATTTTTTAACATATATTTTTTAGATTATTGATAAAGACCCAAAACAAGGGTCGAAACGTCTACTTGTTAACTTAGTAAACAAATATATTTCCTACACAATCACAACAGTGTTTTTGCTTCAACGGCCACATTTACATCCTTACCATTATTTAAATATTTGAAGCTATTTCTTAGTCTACTATTTTATTAAAATCAAGTTTACGTTTTGAAATAACCGACAGCTGTGGGGAAGTCTTATTTATATCATTTTTATGTTCTTTAATCCGAGTCTTTAATTGTCTTTTTGTCTGTCCAACGTAAGACGCACAACAATTNGTACAGGTGATCTTATAAATAATGTTCGTATTAGAGTCATGGGAA